GATCATGTTGTTAAAGGAATTTGATGAAATATTCGCTTGGTCTTACAAAGACATGCTTGGCCATAGTTTAGATATAGTGTACATAAGTTGTCCATCATAGAGGGATCAAAACCAGTGAAGCAAAAGCTTAGAAGACTCAAGCCAAAATGGGCTTTAAAAATCAAAGAAGAAATTGACAAGCAATGTGATGCTGGCTTTCTCCTAGTTTTGCGTTACCCTGAGTGGTTAGCAAATATAGTGCCAATGCCCAAGAAAGATGGAAAAGTTAGAATGTGCATAGACTACAAAAATTTGAACCAGGCCAGCCCAAAAAATGATTTTTGACTCTCTCATGGCTGGCCTAGTTCATCAATTTATTGTGTGCATTCTTTAGGACCAAATAGCTAGACCCCACACATATCACACATGGTTAGTGTTAGTTCTCCCTCGGTAGTTGTCCCCACAAAGCCTCTAATAATTCTCCATTGTTAGATTAATCTTCTTTTATGGAATTCTGCTTAGAGTCTTGATCTATAGGATATTTATCATGAAATCTCTTTAGTTTTTTTTCTTCTTTTTTTTCTATTTTCATGTATTTACGATAAATAGCATGCAACCATTCTCATATCTCATTTTACCTACACTCATCATTCTAGGTTTGTATTAATTTTGTTATCTTTAGCCTTTAATTTTCAATACGTTAGTTTATTTTTGGTTCGATGCTTAACTAATTTTTTCTAATTACCTCTTGAGTAGTTATTTAATATTTAGTTTTTGGCTTTAGGTTACTCTGATATTTTCTTTCATTGAATGTTTGGTTAATAATCATTTCAGCCCAAGATTATGAAAATTTCCTTGGAACTTTGGTAAAGTAGAGGCCGGTTTAACCTGGCAAGTGTGGGGTGCCTAACACCTTCCCACACTGTACCTTGGTCCCCGGACCAAAAGAATCTCTTCCTCATTGGGCAACGAGTCGCCAAGAAAACAAAATTAACATTTTTCTTGAAAAAATCTCGGGTTTTCCTAAATTCCCATTTTCCAAAAATTTAGGTGGTGACTCCAAACTCCATACCCAAATCTGTCCCCCCTCCATGCCTGCTACGATGACTTGGTCAAGCTGATTTACGCTATAAGCACTTCGTCTAGAAAATCAAAAAGGAGAATCCAAATCGCTTTCAGCTCTAAGGCCCCCTTAAGCCGACCTCGAAGTGCATCGGCACCAAACGCTTATCAGCTTGGCAACATTTTGACTTAGCTGAAATTCCAACAAGTTAGTTCACTTTCAAGCACCTTAGCATGTGTGAACCTCGTCACCTCGACTTGCATTTTTACACTTATCCTATTTTCTAAAATGGAAAATAAAAGGTACGAAGGGGCACAATGTAAACAAAAGGAACAACTTCATTGATTGCAAAGGAAAGTACATCGCTATTTAAAAAAAATGATAGGAAAAAGCTGAGCTCGGAGGATCAGCATACATAGCATGTACGAAAGGGAGTGGATCCAAGAAAAGAGGTAGCCTACACTTTGTCTCCGGTGTAACGTTCCCCAACACCCTCCTTGACCTCGTCCTCGCCCATCTCGTCCAATGTGTCAGGCTCAACATCTATCCAGTCACTCACCTCGTCCAAGACCAACCTAATGGATATGTGACCAAAGTTGAAATTGGGATATAGAGACCAGAGGTAATGACAACACAATCTGAAATCCCTTCCAAAGGGCTGGCATAGCAAATTTAGACTTTTCTTGCTTAAATTCCGACGAATAACAAAACTCCTCGACGCTGACCTACTTTGCTTGTTGGATTTCCTCGGTGTGCTTGCTTTGCCTTTCCTCAAGTTGTCGAGCTTGCTCTTCCACCTCGGCCATCAGGTTGGCGACGTTGTTGTTTGCCTCCTCCAGCTAGCATGTCAAGTTGGTTGATGCATTGAGGAATCACCGACGATCTTCCTGAGCTTTGAGTTGTGCACTCCAACTGAGATTGAAGAGACTCAATTTGAGTTATCATCCTTGTAGCGTTCTGCTCCAAGGAGATGGCATGATTATACAAAGTCCAACCCATAAAGTTCGCCTACAAGGAACAATAGTTAGAAAGAAGTGTATACACAAGCGAGCTCTTGAAGAGTGGAAACACATACCGATAGCACATCCCAGATCATAGACGCACCAAGGTTGGTGGTACTCTATTGGTTGTAGTACCTCGTGTCATCAGGGAGAAGGATGTTGCCACTAACTTCAAAAGTGACGCAAGGATCCAAAATCCGATCGACAATGGTAATATTCCAGCTCGAAATGTAGACGGGCCCATGCAAATTAGACCCTTTAGGGATGGAATCGGGAGGGTATGTAAGATGCCCCCGGCAGAGCGAACTGGTCCGGCATGGTAGTGGGGTCAACAAACGTTGGATTGGTGCCCTCACCATTGATGTCCACCATGTCAGGCTCCCTAGCCAACGGCCTCCTCTCTAGCATTTCTTGCTCCGTCTCTGATGCATAAGTAGATTCAATAGCTCTCTTCTTCTTCTTCTTCTTCTTCAGAGCTCTCCTTGTTGTAGTTAGAATGGATGTGGTACTCATGTCTGTCAAGCAGCAAAAAAGAGATTTGGTCAGATCAGAAAACCATAATAGATCGACATAACAAAGTACTATGCAGGCGACCTACCCCGTGGGACTTAGACAGGCCTAAATGAGCATTGGTTTGGCTAGAAACTCGTCAGCCAAGGATTGTCGTTCTACAAGGAACCTAATCTCGTCAGCCAACTCCTCATTAAACTTAACATCTGGGACCCACTAGTCAACCACCTTCCTAGGATAGGAAGAAATACCTTGACTTCCAGTTCGCCACCTTCAAAGGGAAGCCACCCAAGAGCTTAAAACCAGGTCGATAACTCAAGTAAAAGCAATAGGGCTCTCGGTGCATCTTCTTTATTTGATAGAGCCCCATAAAGATATCTATTGTAAGCTCAAAATCGAGGTGGAAGCAGATGGAGATCATCCCCACTAGCATCCTAATTGAGTTCGGGTGAAGCTGTCCTAAGGAGATGCCACAGTGAGAAAGCACCTTGCAAATAAAGGGATGAAGTGGAAAGCGGAGTTTGGCGATAAGTGCTTCTTCGAAGACGTAGATTTAGTTCGGCCATGGCTCCAAGGGTATTGACCCTCACTGGGCTAGATATAATCACAAGAGTTAGGTATTTGGAAGGTCATCACTAAGGCAACTATCTCCTCCCCACTCAATTCGCTGGGTCCGAATTTTGACATAGTCCTAGGATGTTGAGAGGTTGAGGCCCCTCTTTGAGATCCTCGTCGCTCTTGAGCTGAAGCTCCACCTCGTGTCAAGCATCTTGGGGACACTCCCTCTCTAACCCACTGGACATAGCTTGAAGTTGAGGAAGACTCACCGAAGATTGGAAAAATGAAGACCAACCTCGCCTATAGAAAACCGGTTTCATCCGCAAGCTCTTTGACCTCTTGTTCTGCAACCATCCAGAAAATTACAAGGCAATGCGAATGGGACCCATCAAGGGGCCCCCTATTTATAGTGAAGGGATGTGGCAACCAACGATAGCAATGCACTTCATCTAACAATCCAGAAAAGGAGCATGCCACTTCAGTACCCAACGACAATTTCAAAATTTGAACTTGTGCACTCAATTTGAAATTTAAATCTACCTTACGCGCTAATATGCTCCCAAGACCAGTTGGGCAAGTTAGACTGTGCTCACGGAGGACCGACCATAACAGTTATTCTGGGCCAAGGATATGTGACAAGGTACTCCCTTCGCCGAACCGACCTCGACTCGAGAGTGGGGGGCAATTGATGGGGGTGATTTGGCCCTCTAGTGACATCACGACATGTGGCACCACGAAATTGTCAAATGACATCTCAGCTCCACATAAGCAAACTTTGGATCAAGCACTATGGACACCTCGCACTCGTCTCGACCTCCTTGGCCCCACCTCGGTAGGCCGACCTATGGATAACTTGAAAGGTATCAGGTCGACATAAGAGGCGGTTTGACCAAGGCTTAGTTGGCGACTTGTACGATGCGATGGGTGACCTCCTTCTCGAGTAGGTTATCATACCCGACTCCCCTGGGATCATGATGCCACGTCAACAGAGCTAACTCCCATCCTACCTGTTTTGGAAGCAACTAGATAAACATTATTACTTTATGTGGAATCTGTTTCTAGGCATGAAACCACCTTCGAACCAAATGAGGCAGTTATCTTGGACATGCTACGTGAAGCCCACAACAAGCTATGCCTATAAAGGCGTCTCATTCTTCAAGAAAGGTATACATGATTTAACTCTCAATCATACTAGCTCTCTAAATACACCTCGCTAACTTAAGCATCAGAGTGTCCAACCTGAACACTTTGACTTCTCTCTTTGTGTCTGAGCTATTCACTAGCAGGGAGCACCAGATCGCACACCATCAATTATAAATAATAAAAATAGTAATTACTGAAAACAAGTTTTCAAAAATAAATTTTAAAATATAATATGTAAATAATAAAAGTGAAGTGAATTTGAAATACATTATTTTTTTTCCAAAAGAAATATATGCTCACTCACATTAATTAGAAATTTAAAATATTACTATTGATTTATATTAATTTATAATTTTCTATTTCCTTTTTTAATCCGGTCGGATTTTCCCGTGCATCACACGAGCCCGCTAGTTTCTATTGGAAAATCTTCCGACTTGCCACTGTCAAAGCTCTTCCGGTTGCATTATCATAGATTTTGTATCCCTAAAACTTGAAGCACCAAAAGTGCAAAACCCTCGTTTTTCACTTTTTTTCTTTCTCCCATCGTTCTTAAGCTTGAAACAGCCACCGCATCGCCGCTGTTCTCTTTCTCTTTCTTCCACGGTCTCCTTTTGGTCTCCTGTGTCTCACCTGCGAGCTGCGGCTCATCTCTCCTTCTCTCCCTCCTCTTTCTCCTCCTCCTCCTCCTCCTCCTCCTCCTCCTCCTCCTCC